GTAACAAATTAATATTATTATAACTATGAAATTATATTTAAAATAAAACACGCTCATAAGTACTTTAAAATGTATTTACAAGCATAATTTTGTTCATTAATTTCCTGAAAAAAAAAAAGCAATGAAGAAGTTGTTGACATTTGAGACTAATCACGAGGTTTTACGTTTCACTGCATCTGACCATCATCGATGCAGAAAATTAATTGTTTTTTATGAAATTGTCTTAACTTTGAATGAAACAATAAATTTTTTTTCAAAAGAGGCCCTATTAAGTAAATGTTGTTTCCTGAAATCACCTTAAAAATAAATTAGTAATTCCAAGTTAAAGGTTTTAAAAGAAACATTCGAATCCAACAGGAGGTTATAATATAGAGAAATCGAGAACACGAATATAGTAAAATTTCAAGCATACATACAACAGGCATATCACTCTGAAAATGATCTCTTCCCGGCAACCTTTGCGTAGAGAACTGATGCAACAAGGCTTAAAAAATAGTTTTTGTAGTTCTTAAAAGATTTAGTGCTATTATTTCGCTCAAAACGGTAATAGATCATAACGGTTATCTGGCTTGATGATAAATTACAGCCTTTGCGTTCCACAACTGACCACAGGTCTCAAAAGATAAATTATACACGTCTGTTAAGCTAAGCATGCGAAGATAAGCATAATCTCAAATTGTTTAGTTAGAATTTAGTAGTAAATGAGTGCTAAGTTAGTACACATATAAATTTACGTCAGAAAATTTTCTTTAGTTTGCATTCATATAGAAGCAGGTATTTATTGCAGGACAAACAAACATTTTGTGCATAAAATTTTGTATGTGTTTTTCGTAACTACTTCAGCATTAAAATTAGCACTTAAATTTAAGCGTAAAATAAACGCATAATGCATAATGTTAACATAATAAAGCCAGTATTGTATCGATTTTCCAATTATTTAACGGAACTTCACATTTCATTTTGCGCCATTAAATCAGCACTCAATTAGCACTAAACTTTATTTACAAAATTTTGCAATTTCTATGACAAATTAATGTTTTTTATAAATACAATTCTAGGCAAAGCTTATTGTTATGTTTTCCGCTTATCTAATGTAACATAATTTGTCATACAGTACACAATTAGCGAACAATTTGTACTAAATTCTGGCTCAATAATTTGTTGCCCTGCAGACCTTCAGAGAGAGACCTTAAACACGTCAAAATTTAATGTTTACGACAATGAATAATATTAACTAAATACTATATCATGAAAGATTTAAAAAGTGTTAATTAACACTTATCAGAATATTTATATAGGCTGTTAATATCTAATTAACAATTTATTTACTTTAATGACATTTAAAAAAACATTTAACGCTCAAATAATGTCGTAATATTTTTAATGGTTTTTGTGTTTATTAGTTCTTACCTCTGATTATATTTAAACATTATTTACATAGGTAAAAGTTATAGCCAATAATGTCCCACTGAGCAGCGGCTTCTACTCATTTATGTGAGTGTGTTACAAAGATAAAATATCTGCTAAATGCGGGTTAATTACCACAATACATTTTCGGTAAATAAATTGAAAGGAATATAAATTCTGTTATTTTTCTATTGCTATACATAGATCTTATTCCTATGGATTTAAAACAGAGAATATACCAACGCACACATTGCGTGTTGGTGGACTTCACACAACATTTTTCTAACCGAGTTTCGTACTCGGCCGAGTAGATTTTTAATTCCAGGCGAATATTTTTTTTGTATGTACTTCGATTTCTCGGAAACGGCTTATCCAATTTTAATAATTCTTCTTTTATTAAATAGGTGTATAACCTATTAAGACCAGGAGTGGAACAATAAAATAAGAATGAAAAAACAGGGGATGAAATTTTTAATATGTAACTATATACATGACATTAGAATTGTTTTCTTTAATTTGTGATACTCATTAAGTCCATTTAAAAAGATCAAATAATTAAACTTTGTAAAATAAAAGCTGACTTCTAAAACAAAGAGAATAAAATAATTTCCACACAATAGGATCTGACTTCGGGGCTAAAATACTTCGATACACTGTCTTATACAATACAATGTCGTAGCATCGCTTTCAGAAGTGAAATTAATCCGTTTTGTTTTTTATATACTTTATGCACTTATTTTCTTAGAACTTATTACATTTACATTAGGGTATAAAGTTATGTAATATTATGTCAATAAAAAGATTTCACATATAGAGAGAAAATATTTTATAACAAACTAGCTGGTACTCGGTGAGTTGCTGGCATAGAAGTAATAATTGTGGAAATATCATTTTAAATTAGGAAGAGTTAGGTATATTGTTTAATTACGTATGATAATAAATTTACTGAAGTTGAATGATATATAACTTTCAAATAAATTTTTCGGTACGACATGGGCCAAGCCTACTGTAAATTAATTGTACTATACCTATAACCTTAGAAGCGTCAGTAGCCTAATGGCAGGGCGCGGGCCTGTGGACGGCGAGCAATGGGTAGCTCGCCGTCCGTCCGTCTAACGACGACAGGCCGTGTCGACGGCGCGTTTTGTCCCACGCGCGCCTCAAAGAGCTGTCAGCAGCGTGAAGGGGCCCGCAAGGGCCGACGCCTGCCGGGGCTGCGGGCTGTTCGAAAGAGATACCGCGGCTCCGGACCGTAAGGGCACTGAAGGAACACGGATGGTTTTTAGTCAGTAAAAGTCTGACACTCCCTTCCGCTCCACCCAGAGCGAAAGGCGTCATTTGATGATTTTCCATCCGCAAAAAAAAGGGCGCGGACTGCAAACTCGAAAGGTAGTGGGTTCGAATCCGCCATTCGACTACTGTCGTGAACCACTTCTAACACAGGCATTTTAAACTTACCAGAAGGGGTTAAAGGGAATATTAGTAAAGTTTAATAGCATTACTAGTATTTTTTATTAAAAAAAAATACACAAGATACCTTCGGACAAGTGCGCAAGCAATAAGTTGACAAAGTTTTACGGTATGACAGCGCATAAAATACGAACAAACAAAAACTATTTTTATATATTAGATTAGATGGTTACTCAGACACAAGATCTATTATAAGATTAAATTTTATTCTTGCAGTACTGTTGCAGAATAAGTAGGAATCTTTGTTTTTAAAATAATTAAAGAACAACTTTAAAGCTCATGAGGTAAAACTGTTACTCTTCTAATTAGTACGAAAAGTTGGAAGTTGGAACAATATATTCGGACGATCGATTTCAAACTTGGGATTTTCAAACTGACTATTGTACGTTTAAGCCAGAAGGTGAAGTTTTATGCACTGGTCCTCGTAGTCCGCAAAAAGTAGGTTAAATTTACATGTCCTTGAATATATTATTATAATTTCTCAGACATGGTGGTTTTAACACGGTATTATATATAGACGAGCACATAGAAAATCAGCAGTATAACTTAAATTGAAAATTAAAAAAAAACTCCGAAACAAAAAGAAACGGCTGAAAATATTATTTGTAATTATGGCTAAGAAAATTCGGTCACCTTTCAAATAAAAAAAATACTAAATATTTTTAAGGAATATATAATAAAGTTTACATTGGTATATAATTTATTCCGCCTATAATATATACAAAATCAACAGCAATTACCAAGAGGAAAGAAAAACACAACCCGTCTCTTTGCATTACATTTGCATAACACCATTTGTCGATGACGATGGTTAACTATTGTACTATTACTTTTTCTAAAGGCCTGTTTTCACTTTGATTAGTGATTAGTGCAGGTGATTAATGCAGGTGCATAGTGTTTAGGAGTAAACACGTGTGAATAGCGATTGATTAGTGCAAGTGATTAATAACCTGTGTAGTAAAGTGATTAGAAGCGTGTTCTATTTTTTTGCGAGTGGACTGCGAGTATCACACCCCGCGCGCCATGCCTTTCCCCTTACTCGCAGCATGCCTGCCACTAAACACGTTTGGACAGCAGTGCTAAGTGTTTAGCGTTTAGCATCGGACGCTCGCTTCTGTTAAAAAAAAATGTCCATACTTCCTGGTCGACTGCTAACAACTGAATTTACTAAACACAACCACTAAACAGAATTGGACACTACTTACACTACACACCTGCACTAATCAACCGCAAAACTAATCACCTGCACTCGCACTAATCAAAGTGAAAACAGGCCTTAACTAAGACAGTATTACGTGATTTTTGTATGAAATTAATCAATGTCTTATATGTATAAGTATGTATATCATTAAAGAAATTAATTTTACATAATTTAATAACCATTTCTGAAATTAGATTGAAATGCACATAACGACTCAATACCACCATTGAACAAATTCGTACCTACCCTTTTGAAATAACCATCAATAACTTTTGATAGCATGAACCGATTTAATAAAAAACAAAGACTGTTTTTTGTTGATGTTTGAATGTTACTTGAAGATACGCTTTACAGTTTTCTTCACGAATATTTTGAAAAAATATTAGCACTTTAGACGTGATGCGTTCATAAACAAATAAACAAACAGACAGACAAATAATTCGAAAAATGATATAAATGTATTTAATTCAAATTCAAATTAAAATTCTTCAATTCTTCTTTTCAATTCAATTCTTTTCGTCGGAATATTTTTTTTTTATGTATGTTCACCGATTACTCGAAGACGCCTGAATCGATTTGGAAAATTATTTTTTTGTTTCAAAGGATATACTTCCAGGTGGTCCATAACCTAAAATCGGTCGAGCGGTTTTTAAAAGGCAACAATAAATTATATTCATATTGAAGTCGATCGTCCAAAATTTGAAATTTACCACTTGTTGTTACAAAAATATGCAATGTACCTGCAATTTACTTAATTTTTATTTTATTAACATTTGAATATTTTTATTATTATATACATTTCTTGTTAGAAATTTTGAATAGACTGAAATTAAAAATATGAATTAATAAAAGCCGTAAAATATAGTACGTAAAACGTGACCACGTGCAATAATTGATGTTTTTGGTTTTGTTTTTTTTTCAGATGAAATTTGGAAGCTCACCAGGACACCTCACATCAAAGACACTGATGCTGTGAAAATGGATCAAGCCATTGCTAACTACAGTCTTCAAGGCACACCATTTATATATTTCAACAACACAGAGAATAATTGCAAAATTAGCGGTGGAGCATACTTAAATCCTTCGTCTTTAATAATGGCTTCGGCTGCTGCAGTGACACTATTTCGACGGCTTTATTAAGCTTTATTAAGTTTAAGAGAATATTTAGATATAAGCGATGATGAATATATAAACCCACATTAACAATTGGTTATGTTAGATAGCTCCGAGTTTCTAGATATCAGATGCAGTGTCTGTGTGTGTGAGCGTGTACACTACTGAAATCCGGATTATACTCGTTCATAGAAATTACAGCTTTGTTGAAAGCATCCGGAAAATTTCGTCGTAGTTGAAATCAAACAAAACAAATCATCGAATCAATCAACAAAACGAAGGTGTCGAAGGCTTTAACAATCAATACCGAGTACTTGAGATTTAGATTTTTCTTGTGTATGGGTTTTATTTTTGATTAATGCAGATTATATTTAAGTAATTTTGAGTAAAACATATTTTTAACTGAGAAATAAAGTTCGGTAAGAGCGATTTCTTACCGATATATTTTAATAATTGAAGTAGGTACTCGATACAGATACGTGGTGCCGTGGCTTCTCATAGTATTTTGAGTCCTTGGTATAATGTTCAAACCATTGAACGCGAAGCCGATACTTTAAACTTTAAACACGATTTTTCTCTGTAGATTGGGTATTGGACAATATAGTATAGTACAGCACTCTTTGGCGAACAAATTATGGCTTAAAATGATGTAAAAAAAACATAATGGATATTGTACAAATTTGATATAGAAATTATTAATACATAAGAATCCTTAAAATAAATTACTTTTTTTTAAAATTAAATTTAATGTGGAAGATTAGTAAATATAGACTGTAGCATTACGTTGTGTAATTTAGCGAAAATAAATAGATGAAAATGAAATAAGTTGTGAATCAACATAAATTACAATATTATTAATTTTAATTGCTTATATTATTTCCTCACTGTAAAGATGCCACATTGTATTGCTTACACATTATAGGGTAAGAAAATTCATAAACTTATTTCATAACATCATTGTCGTAAGAGGCGTCTATAGGACATGCCTAAAAGATCTTATCATTTCCGACAGAAAAACAGTATTAATTACATTCTCGTTATCATCTTCATCGTTTTCATGATATCGAGATAATGTTGTTGTTGATGATATGGCTTCGGATAGATGACGGTAGCCAACTCGTCAAACGCTTAGCGTTAAATTACCAGACGGAAGATGAAAAGCAGCGTCATATGTGCGAAACGTCGGGTACTGCGATCGTCAATCCGTAAGCCAAGCGTGATTATTAAATCAATCCAGCAGTTGACTTTTACGGGCTAATAAACGAACAAAACAGTAGCATTAAAAATTATATAAGTTTCTAAGCATGGGTATGAAGCTGGATTAAAAATGTTGTTAATTGTTTTGCTATGAATTTGAAGTGGAGTAGATAAAGAGTACATTTATTTTGTTTTTTTTTTTAAGTTATTATAAGTCAGTGCTTGACTATAATGCCACCTGGTGGTAAGTGGTGGTGCAGCCTTAGATGGTAAATAGCACTGTCTTAGCGTAACAAAAGCCTATTCACTCTTGCCTTGAAGACGCCCAGATTGTATTCGGACGGAAAGATTATTCCACTCCTTTGCTGTACGCATTACAAAAGACAAAGCAAACCTTTTAGTTCTAATGCGTGGAATATCGACAACAAAGGGGTGAAGACCTGCCGACCGCCTGGTTGTCCGATGGTGGAAAGGAGAGGGAGGAATTAAAGCGTGTAATTCTTGCTTGCTTGTATAAATAAATTAAAAAAATTGTCACTTAGAAGCGTCTGTGTAAATGTACCCATTCCACATCCTTGACCGGATTGTCTTAGTAAAATGTGATTTCTGATATATTTTAGGCAGGACTTCTTTTATGAAAACTCTAACTCTCTTGTGTATTGGGTAAACCTCCGGGGGTTGTATATTCTTCATCATTATCATCATTACAGCCCTTTACAAGTCCACTGATGAACATACGCCTCCCCCAAGGAATGCCACAAAGCATGGCCCTTAGCCACCTGCATCCATCGACTTCCAGCATATCTTACCAGGTCGTCACTTCATCTAGTGAGGAGACGCCCTACACTTCGTTCGCCGGTACGAGGCCGCTACTCCAGAACCTTTTTTCCCCATCTGTTGTCGGTTCTTCGAGCTATATGGCCGGCCCATTGCCAGTTCAGCTTACTAATCCGTTGGGCTATATCGGTCACTCTGGTTCTAATGCGGATATCCGCATTTCTAAGTTTATTACGCAGAGAAACTCCAAGCATAGCCCTCTCCATAGCTCGCTGAGCGACCTTGAGCTTCCTCATCCGACCAGCAGTGAAGGACCACGTCTCAGTACCATAGGTCATCACTGGCAACACGCACTTGTTGTACAGTCTCGTTTTCAAGTTTTGAGGTATACCTGACGAGAAGATGTGCCGTAATTTCCCGAACGCTGGCCAACCGAGTTGAATCCGTCGATTGACCTCTCGGTCGAAGTTGGACTTACCTAGTCGGACTATTTGTCCCAGGTAAACATACTCGTCAACAACTTCGAGCTTAGTACTCCCAACAACTACCGGCATAGGTGTGAAATGGACATTAAACATGATCTTTGTTTTATCCATGTTCATCTTAAGACCTATCCGTTGGGAAACACTATTGAGGTCATTGAGCATAGTGCTCAGGTCCTCCAGCGATTCTGCCATAAGGACTATATCGTAGGCAAATCGAAGGTGAGTTATGTACTCGCCATTGATGTTAGTACCGTATCCTTTCCAGTCCAGAAGCTTGAAAACGTCTTCCAATGAAGCGGTGAAGAGTTTCGGGTATATAAAGGCATCCTGTCTTACACCTCTCTGCAATTGGATAGGTTTCGTACTCTGGTTCTGTACTCGGATAGCCATCGTAGCTCTACTATACAAACACTTCAGCACTTCGATATACCGACAGTCAACTTGGCACCGCTGAAGGGACTGCAGCACCGCCCAAATTTCGACGGAATCAAAGGCTTTCTCATAGACCACATACGCCAGACATAGTGGCAAATTTTACTCCTCGGAGTTCTATACAATTTGCCGAAGTGTATGTATGTGGTCTATGGTGCTAAAGCCTTTTCGGAAACCGGCTTATTCTGGAGGCTGAAAGTCGTCAAGACTGCGAGCGATTCGTGATGACTCTCGAAAACAGCACGTAGACGTGGCTCAGAAGGGAAATCGGTCTGTAGTTCTTCAAGAGAGCGTTGTTACCTTTCTTGAAGAACAAGACTACCGCACTTCTGCTCCACGCCTCCGGTGTAATGCTACAATGGAGGACGGATAAAGAGCTTTTGAAGGACTTCAAGTACCGGTTTTCCACCCGCTTTCAGAAGCTCCGCTGTAATTCCATCCTCGCCTGGGGCTTTGTGGTTTTTAAGGTGCTGGAGAGCCAGTGTAATCTCGCTCAGACTGACGTCGGATAAGACTCGCACTCGGATCGTTACTCACACTTACGTGTGGCTCCAACGATGATGTACATTCTTACAACATATTTTTATCTTAATATTATATATATACACAGGATGTTCCAGTAATGGCGGATAATCTGGTATGGGGGGGGGGGAAGGTGGTCTCGGTTCCCTTAAAAAAAATTCTACCCCGAACGGTTCGCGCTCTACGCCATGTTTTATAATATTCCGAAAATTCGTACTTCTGCTCACATTTGTGATCATAACGGCCACAGTTTAATTCCTAGATCGGATTTTTTTCTTTTAATATGTTCTCTGGTAATGACGTTCCTAAATGACCCTTAAAAGTTTTAACTACTATGGGTAGTATTTTACAAGACGGCACTAAATATAAGTTTAAATTTTTTACTTTATTTATCTGTTAAGTTTGAGCACCTGCGGTGAAAAAATAAAACGTATGGGAGCTGTGTGGCCAACCATTTGAAAAGTTTGCCTACATCATGAGGATTCTAAAACATTAGCATACTATGTGCTTAATATCATTATTTACTGAACTATAGCCGTTAATGTGTAAAATAGATATTTCATTACAAAATTACAAAATTATTGGCAGATAGCATAGATTAATGATAGGTCATCGCGCGCTCTGACTAGATACCGCGCTACTTGAAAGAAACAGCACCGTAACTGCGGCAACTCAATATTCTAGTGTGTATAAGACAATTGCAAGGATGCTAGTGTGCGTAAAAAATTGTATATGCCAGCAGCTTAACTATTACCCCATTAACGGGAAAAATTATTTTATGCTATGGCTTAGTAGTTAGTTCATAGTTATAATTGTAGACCAGAAATACTTAAAAATGAATAATTTATTAATAGCGAATGTATCAATATATTTGTGTATATTATGTATAGATTTTTCTTCTGAATAAATGGCATATAAATGATAAGGGCTCATTTATATCAATTTAATTTTTATATTTAAATGTCTGACTAAGATTCACAAATTATTAAAGAAATAGTTATATATTATATGGTGTAGCGAAAATTTTATTTTTATTATTTGTTATGTATCAATATCCGGAATCCATCTTGAGTCAAGCACTAGTCTTTCCGCCTAAAGTCAGCACTTCTGGCTACCTTACCTGCCTGGAGGGGGCACCTCACCACTGTTTTTGCTTTGTTATTTAAGCAGTGATGAGCACCAGGTCTCGTCATTATAGCGTTGTTTTTCGCGCCATTCACAAGTCAGCCTTTCGTAAGCACAAAAAGTATAATTTTTTTTTCTAAAATTAAAAATAGCTACCCTACTGAAAAAATTATGGAGGAACAAAGTGTCGACGAAGTTACATTATTAAATTCTCAAAAACGTGTGCGTACTTCATCGTCGAGTTTGGATGGCAGTGATTCGTCAAAAAGCAGTGTTTACAGTCAAACAAGGAGACACAAGAAAAGGAGAATGGATCAAACCGTGAGTAAAGAACATTTAGAATTTTTATCCCAGCAAGTGGCCTTTTTAACTAATATTATTACAAAATCTAGTGAAGTTTCATGCCAAAACCAAAAAATAGTCCCTTCACTTAATCTTAACTTGCACCGACCTACAACAGAAGCCGGGGACAAAATAAACCAGCTCAAG